CTCTCTCTCTCTCTTGGATATTCTGACAAACCATAATAGAATAGAATTGACAACATTTGAATCAAACCAAACCGAATAATGTAACAATATGAACCAGAGAAAAAATCATTGATAAAGATGGATAAAATTCTTGCAATATTCCCATGCACACAACTAACATATATCGAATTGAGTTGAAATAGTCGACACACAATATACACCCACTAACTAAATCAGTTGATTAAGCAATCAACAACAAAAAAAAAAAAAAAAAAAAAAAAAAAAATTCCTTTCTCTTGATTCATTTCATTTAACCCCATTTTTTAATTGCGAAAAANTAACTAAGTAAGTAAATTAATTAATTATTGATTGATTGATTGATTTTGTATTTAACCTTACCTTATTATTATTATTAGCAGGTGTACATTGTTGTTGTTGTTGTTGATAAATCTATTAATTTTTTCTTTTTTGGTGGAAAATTGTCATCTTATATCGATCAATCGATTGATCGATCTCCATGTTTGTTTGCTCGCCTGGTTTTTTTTTATCACTCACTTTGCTCTACTCAACGAAAATAAATTATTCATTCATTTTGTTTGAGAATTCAATAAAGACATTATCATTATCTTACCTTTTATTACGATTTTTCCTGGTTTCTTTCTTGAAGATCAATAATCATTTTTGGAGAAATGAAATGAAGAAAACAAACGAAAAAAGGAAAAGAAAACATTCGAATTTCGAATAACATTTATCACAATTGACAAATTATATCGATATAATCGATAGTTTGTTTGGGTGATGGTCGTATTCAATAGTGAGCGGAATCGAACGCAAAAAAAAAAAATGATGATGATGATGATTATTGTTATTACTGTTTGTAATCATCATCATCATCGTTATAATCATCATTATTATTATTATTATAATGATAGGGGATCAATAATAATAATTTTGTTGTTGAATATAAAAAATGAATGGTTTGTTTTTATATTTTGTTTACGTTTATAATAATGATTATTTTATTTCATATGGAACGAAAATGTAGGGAAAATAAACGATCTGTATGTCATGTCTGTATAGACAATATTTATACGATTTTTTTTGGTTTCGAATAAATTTTGTTTTGGCACCCGAGAAATAAACCAGAAAGAAAAAAAACCAGAAAAACAATCGTTGTTTGGATTCATTCACAGTGCCCGGTTTTACCCGTCATATCATTATCAGACGATGGGAAAAAAGAAAAAAAGTGCCAAAGAAAATATTTAGTTGGAAATCGAAATAAAAGAAGAAATGGAAAACAAAAACAAAAAGAAAAATGGCAACCTTTTTTATTCGATTGTTTTCGATGTGAAAAATGGAAACAACAACCAAAACAGAAACAGAAAAACAGAAAACAAAATAAACAAATCAAAACGATAAACGAAAATGAACAGGAACGAATTTTATGATCATTCTTCTTCGTCGTCGTCGTCGTCGTCGACATCGTCATTCAGATCATTGAGATTCCAAACAAAACGAAAGCAAAGAAAATGAATCAAGAAAAAAAACAAAAACAAAACAAAACAAGAATCATCAATAATCATCCAAGTTCATATCGTTTGTTTTACGAAGTAAACGGTACAGTACGGTGTTTATAAATGTCAGAAAATCTTTTTCTTCTTCTTTTGACATCCCAAAGAAAAAGAAAAATCATTATGTTTATGTGTTGTGTGTGTGTGTGAAACACAGAATAACCGAAGAAACGAAA